TTTTGTTTTAGATGAAAGACATGAGATATGAAACTACGGAGATTAACGTATATCATACTGTACGCTGGAATACTTTATTTAGTATGCATTGCAGAAGACAGAGAACAGATCGACAAAGGATGTCCTCCTTGGCAAGACAGTCCTTGGTGTCCATGCTATCAGTTCGAAGACGGTTTGTTCCTAGAATGCCCCAGTACGGGCTTGGAACAGATTCGCAACACCCTATCCCTGGTTGTAGCACCCATCAAGTCACTCACCATCTACCATCTCGACAGCAATATCACAGTTTTACCGTCCCGTGTGTTTCTCAATCACACTATTTCTCACTTACAGATCTCCTACTCGAACTTGCAATCGATTCAAGAGGATGCTTTCGAAAGTTTGGAGGACGTGCTCGAAAGCTTGTCTATTGTCAACAGTCAACTGAAAGAAGTGCCACAGAAATCTCTTAGTAGACTGCACTCTCTACGTTCTTTGGATTTCGATTCCAATCAAATAACTCACGTCGACAGTTATGCCTTTTACGGACTACCTTTAAGCAGTTTGAATCTTCAAAGTAACTTAATTGAATCATTGTCTGAGTATGCATTCGGCGGTTTGGAGAATACTTTAGAAGAATTAGTTCTCATCAATAACCGTTTGACTGTGTTTCCACTTAATTCGTTGAGACGTCTCAGACAATTAAAAACTTTGAGGCTGGTTTGGAACCATATCACAAACATTCCTGATGATGGCTTCACACGCTTCACTACATTACAGCGCTTAGATTTAAGTTCAAACAAGATAAGTGAGCTTCATGAAAGAAGCTTTATCACCATGCCCCGCCTTACCATTCTCTCACTATATTCTAACTTTCTAACTAAATTAGATGATGATGTTTTTCTTCACATGGACCAATTAGAATCATTGGATCTCAGTCATAACACCATCACCAATTTAAGTAGTAAAGTATTCAGTCATCTTAATAAAATTAAAACTGTTGATCTCAGTTATAATCACCTTCACGTTATCGATAATAAGATTTTTCACAATTTATCAACCATGAAAGAATTGTTTATATCTAATAATAATGTCATGAAAATTACAAATGATACATTTTTCAATACTACTCACATTTCTGTACTTTTTGCACCTAATAATGCCATTTCAAATATTGATTATGGTGCATTTTACTCATTGACTCATCTGTATCAATTACAATTATCTTTCAATCAGTTAAGAGAGATTCATCCCACTTTGTTTAAGAGTAATCGTGCACTACGTTCACTTTCCTTAGATAATAATCTTATAATTGATATAGAACCGGGAACATTTCAGGAGCTTGTCGAATTGCGAGATCTGAGATTGCAAAATAACCTCATTAAAAGAATTAAAAAAGGAAGCTTCTATTCTCTCCCCAATTTACAAGAATTACATCTTCAGTTTAACAGAATTGAGGTCATAGATAATGAAGCTTTAAGGAGCTTGGCTAATTTACAACACCTCAACATTCAGGGTAATAGGCTGATAGAAATGGGAGATTTTTTGAGTAGATTTCCTTCTAGTTTGAGATCTCTACAATTGAATCATAACGAGATAGCCAATCTACACAATGACAGCCTCAAGGGTCTCACCCAAATGGAAATCTTGTGGTTGAATTGGAATAAACTCAAGAAGATACAGAAAGGTGTTCTGAAGGATCTTGTGAAAGTAGAGAAATTATATCTAGATCACAATTCGCTTATGTCTATCGAGGATGGTGCTTTTTCTAGTATGAAGAATCTTGTTTATCTTAATCTTGAAAACAGCAATCTCAATCATTTGAGTTCGGGTATGTTTCGCGGAATTTCATCATTAGAAGAACTTTATTTATCTCATAATCGTATAATGGAGATAGAACCGAACACGTTTCAGCATTTGAAACAGTTAAAAATCCTTCATTTAGCAAATAATCAAATTTATGTCATCAGGAAATACATGTTTGAAGGCAATCTTCCTCTTGAAGAATTGATATTGTCTAACGTTATGGCTGAAGATATCGAAGAAGGAGCCTTCAGCGATGTTTCATCTCTCATAACATTAGATATAAGCGGAAACAAGTTAACAACAATCGAGAAAAAAGTATTAAATCTTCCAAATTTAGAGTATCTGTATTTGGGAAACAACAATATAAGTGATATCGGAGAAGCAATGTTCGAGAAAACTAAATCCTTAATTCTTTTAAGTTTTGATAATATAGGATTTGACTTCTTAAACGACAATATATTCGATTCTCTTACAGAATTACGAATTCTGAAACTAGAAAGAAACGGTTTGACGGAACTAGATGCAGATGTTTTAGCATCAGTGGGTCTATTAAGAGAGTTGTATCTCGATCACAATAAATTTGAAAAAGTTCCTTCTCATGCACTGGGAAATGTGGCCAATCTGGAAATCCTATCACTCTCTCACAACTGCCTGATTTCCCTGAAGAGAATGGCATTCAGAGAAAATCAATACCTGAAGAAACTAGACCTTAGTGATAATGAGATATCTGTTATCGAGGAAGATGCTTTTTTCAATTTGAGTTCTCTTTTAAAGTTGAATTTAGCCAATAATTCTTTAAAAATACTCCCGAAAGATGTATTTCTTTACACGCAATCTTTAGAAGAGATGAGACTAGATGGCAACTATTTATCCTACCTTCCCAACACATTATTTTCTCCCATGTTGAAGAAACTAAAACACATTTCGATGAATAGAAATCCAATAATTAGAATTAAAGAAGATTTAACAATCTCAGGAGATCTTCCTTCAGTTCAAATCTTAAGTTTGGATAGGGGTAACATGACTGTTGTAGCATCACATGATTTCATAGGTTTGAACAATCTCCTAAGTTTATCCATGAGGCATAATCGGATATCTAAGATATCGCCGGGTGCTTTTAAACCATTAAATCAATTAAAGTTCTTAGATTTGGGATATAATGAATTAGAAATCCTACCAGAAGAAAGATTATACGGATTAACTCAATTAAAAATTTTAAATTTGACAAGGAACTTACTTAAGGAGTTACCAGCACTTAGTGAAGATATGAAGCACTTGGAGAATCTTGACGTTTCTTATAATCGTCTTACGGTTTTGAAGAAAGGAATATTTGATCATTTGAAAAATTTGAAAAGACTCCGGATGCAATATAATATAATAAGTGTTATTTCTCCAAAGGCTTTTGTGGGTCTATCAAATTTGGAGGTGTTGAACATTAAAGATAATCGCTTGACACATATTCCTAAAGAAGTACTCGCTGCTATCGAGGTCAGATTAAGTGCAATTTTTCTTTCAGGTAAGAAGAATATAAAATTATAAATATTTTATAATTATTTTAATTATCTTAAACTAATTTTAATCATACACACGCGTCACTTCTAATCTCTATGCGAGCCGCATTTCATTTAAATTATTCTTTACGTAGATTTTAAGTGTCAAAGAAATCAATTGTTTTCGGATATATTGACCAACAAGTAAGGCACAACAAAGTTCCCATGTTTCGTGTTTCGTATTTGTATAAATAAATGATTATTGAGATCTAGAGCGTGACAGACAGATAAGGGAGAATTTCTACGGATTCTACTTATTTACAGATAGACTACATTTTATAAATAAGAATATTTATATAATAACTAATAGATGTAGAAAAATAATTAAATTGTATAGAAAGATAAACTGAAAATAAAATAGAGATATTCTTATTTTCTGTGGTTGAAAATATATTCATTTAGTTGACAAGAGAGAAATTACACTCTAGCGAATTTATTTCGTGTTGTCTACAATATTTAACTTAATCCAGCAGAAAATTCAACTTCAATTTTATCCCTACTCGAATGAGATTGTAAAATGCAAAAGAGTAGTAAGAAACTGAATTAAAAGAATTCTAAATCACGAATTATCCCCTGAAGAATTTTGTCACGTTTCCAAATCGAATTTAATTTTGCAATATATTCCTTAAAATAAATCACACCTTATAAATAAGAGACAAGAAATTTTTTGTTCTTTGCTTTAAAAAATTGTATCACTATTTCGTCTGTCCATTTGTCAGTACGTGTCCAATGAATATCTCGAAAGTCGTTTTAAGACCGAGATTACATTTTCAATTTAATTTTAGAGCTAAAAATGAATTTTTTTTTAAAATTCTTTGGCACTTATACAAAATTTTCAAAAAATATTAAGAAAAATTTGAATTATCATAATTTAAAATAATTTTCTTTGTTTTCAATAAAAATTGCTTACTATTAAAATTGTTTTCAAGATATTACCTATTTTATTCCCGAATTTATTAAAAATTTCAACTCATAACACAAATCTAAAATTANATTCAGATTTGATACTGGGTCCCATTTAAGGTGGCAGCCTACAATATTTGTCCGTCCCCCTCACTAATTTAGTGAGGGGACATATAAAAATGTGAGGCCCTAAGCTGTAACTTATTTAAGCTATGTGTAAATCTGGCCATAGCAAATTAGTATTTGATCAAATATATAATGCTTATTGTTTAATACAAATTATGAAGAGATCATTAAAACAAATATGGTACAAAATTTTATATTTGATCAAATTACTTTAAAAATTCTAAAATCCTATATTTATAAATAATTACTATAATTTTCAGAAAATAATCAATATAATTTTAAGTGTAAATATATGTTTTGATAACAGTATTTCAAAATTACAAGTAAACGCTAAAACTATAATTCTGAATTTAATTATAAAAATAATTGCATTAATATAGAATTACATGCATATTTTACTGGTTAAATAATATATATATATATATTTTATTTATATATATATATATAATTTTAATTATAAAAAATTGTTCGAAATATATCTTTTGATAAATAGAAGAGTGCTACCATTAAAGCGTTTGGCTGACATGTTTAGATAATATTTAAAAAAAAAACATAAAAATAATAATAAAAATGGCGGATTTTTTTAAGTTAGTGTGCCAAACACAATTTAATTTCGAGCAAAGCTGCTGGCGATGGTAATTTCGTTAGAGGCAGTTTTTCTGAAAAAAATAAATTTAAAAAAAGTTTTTGAAAACATTTTATAATTTATCATTTTATTAGATGTAAATAAATTTATCTTAATTTTTTTTTTCATTGAAACGTTTATGTATAAACAATCCTTTTTTTTTACTTTTTAGGAAATCCCCTGAATTGCAACTGTCGAATGTTGGGTCTATGGGAATGGCTTCAAGATCATTTAAGACTAATCACATCCTCTGACGAATCCGTCGAACTTGTTTGTCATCGTCCCATAAAACTAAGAGATGTCACCTTGTTAACCATACATCCAGTGGATTTCTGTCCAGCCCCTCTTGTTTCTGATCTCCAAATTCAGCGACTGGACCACGAAAGGATGACGGTAGATTGGGAAATACAAAACGGTACGTTGATAGGTGGATTTGTTCTCACTTACCATGTAACATCTACAAACAGTGTGCCCATAAGTCATGCTCTGGAAGCGGATCATAGAAGATACGAAATTCAAGGATTGGAACCGGAAACTTGGTATACAGTGTGTGTGACAGCTACTGGTAAATATCTTCGAGCTCTGACAAAGCCAACTCCATACGTAACGCATCACGATAAACCTCAATCTGACACTAATACCACGAATCGGAAATGTCTGCAAATCAGAACACTTGCAAAAACAGACAAGACTAAAATCACCCTTTCCACTCTCGGCATTATTTTAGGAAGCAGTGTCAGCGCTGCTTTGGTTCTTACACTCTCTATCCTCCTAACAGCCTTGAAATTTCGAAGAAGGAGAAGACCCGTGAAGAACGACGTCCCTCAGGAGTACATCTCTTACCGTCACTTTTCGATCCAGTCCTCGGAGGGCGTATACTCGTGATACTGTGCACGATCTGTTCACGTGGCACCATGATCGGACTACTATCTGTGTGCTGGACACAACGACGGGTGCCATACAACTCCTACATAAAGGAGTAATTTTGTATAGAGAAAATCGGCGTCCAAAACTTGCAATAATAAAGGACAATATTACTTTTCGTTTTATTCCAGTCTCCTATAATCATTTGACAGGAGACCCGGTTTGTGTTGCTTCCCTCTGTATGCTACAGATGTGTCTGAACATGTGTGTGCCGTGGCAACATGACGTGGGAACAGTTTGATTCAATTTCACGAGGAAAACAGGTGAGAAAATCAAATACTTTCTTGAGAGATTTTAATAAAAGTGCATATATATATATAGAGAGTTTAAGAGAAAGTTTTGAAAGTGGGGAGGTGAAACACAAGGTGAAACAAATCACTTGCAAACACAAAAATTCTATATCTAAAGATTTGTTTATCTGAAATCGAAAATCTAAGATATGGAAGAATCGCAGAGAAAAAAAATTTGAAATTTAAAATTTTTGCAAAATA